TTTCATACACACCTACAAAAAACTGTTTGGAAAATAAGCCTGAGGAAAATGGATTGGGCTTTTTAGATAATCAAAAATAATTGTTCCATGGTGAAAGAAGTGAGCTTTATTTTTAATTGACTTAGGTTTGAACTTCAGAAAATGAAAATACAACACATACACACTTCTGTAAATAAAACACCATTGCCCTGGGGGAGCTGGGGGAGAACATGTTGGGATTTAGCGGCACAAATTTGAGGAAAGGAAATCGTTGAGGGCCTGAGATGCATTCTGGCCCAAGAAAACATCTTGATTTAAAATGTGGGGGGATAGATAAAGCACAATCAATTTATTAGATTATCTTTCATTATCTTGGTTGGTTGAACTGTCACAAGTTTCTAGGAATCCTCTTCTCGTTTGTTTCAAACATAGTATTCTTAGGAACACACATGAAAAAAATGGTTAAAAAAGAGACCTGTACAATCAATACGAATAATAATAAAATAGTGTGCAATGACCTTATCACATTTAATACTTAGTCCTGTTTTTGCACAGTATTTGGTCCAAAATATATTCAGTACCAACCACTGACTAGTTAAACTCCTCTCATGTATAAACTCCAAAGACTCAGCATGAGCAGCATGCCCAATCAGCTTTGTTCACAAGCTGAGCCTCCCAGTCCTCCTGCCTTCAGCTACTGTTTCCTACCAGCATTTTGTTCTTCCTGGTCCTCCCCCTTCTCTACCTCCTCCAGGTCTCATTTTAAAAACCTACCCCGTAGATATCCAATTCAATCCTTCTGAGTTGCCTTGGCAACTCTCAAAGATAGGATAGCTCACAGCTTCCCAATCTAATTCTATCACATCCCTCAATTAGTTTAGTTTAGGTAAGCCTTTTATGAGCAGTCAGATATTTCTTAGAACTATAGTCAGGAATTGGCTCACTCTAAATTGTGTTTGTAGATTCTCACAGGGTGATTTCCTATGCACATCCTCTGGATGCCCTTCTTGTGGGGTCTCTTTTCCTAATACCAGAAAACCTGAGCAAATTGTTAGACAGCCAGCCCACTTTCATGCTTCCCTCCACTATCTGTTGACTTTTTCTTGAAGATTTACTTTCTTAGTCTTTTGGCTGCCCTGCCCTTTGGCATCTTTGAAAGCTCGGCGGTGTTCCTTAGTTGGCAGTAATTAATCAAGGTTGTGATGTTTTCAACTTCAGGTCCTCAAATGAAAATCAAAATGTTCGTGTTTTAAGCCAAATATTCCATCACATATGATGTTTGCAAAGCACACAGGGATAGGTCATTCTTCACTTATATTTTGAGAAGAGAAGATCACCTCTGGCCCACCTTTTCACCCAAGGAGTATTTCCACACAACACTACCTGCCAAGATTGAGCCAGGTCAATCTAAATTTTAATTTCGAACCTTGTTGAAGCTGCCCAAATGGAATTAACTGGCTCTTCAGATCTGTAGAAAGTTATGCTAACTTTGAACAAAAATCATGTGGGAATAAATTTTTGTCATGAGAATTTGACAGCACTCCTTTAAAAATCTAGTTCTGGTCATTAAATGCATTTAACATAATAAGGCACAGAAACAACTAAGAAGGTTCTTTAATTGATTGCATAAAATGTATGAATTAATTAAGCATGTAACACCACACTAAAGATGGTGGAATATAAAGAAACATAATCTTGAGCTGGCTTACTCTCTTATATAAACAAATTGAATTAGATTTTTATCCAATAATTTATGCTGAATTAAACCAAGAGTTTGCTATGATACATTTACAATGAATATAAAGGCAAGCAAACAAACACAAAATTGTTATAAACTAATAAATCACACCTATATAGAGATGAATGGGAACATTTTATGGAATATTAATTCAGTTTGGAGTGGCTATTTTGGGGATCACGCACTGTTGAAGTAGAGTTGAGATGGCCACTTCTAGTCTAATGGGAGTTGTGAATTCACACATCATAGGAAATAAATTTAAGTTTCCAAATTGACTTGGCCTCTGGGCATTTAGGAAAATTGAAGTCACAATTTGTGGCTATCACAATCTCCTGTTGCTGGGAACATTTCCCAGTGAAAAACTACTTTCTCTCTTTGTTGTTTTTCTCTCCCTTCAAAATATGTGTACACTACACATTTCTGACCAAAGCTCAGCAAAGGTGATCTGATCAATGTTTACTGCCTGCAATAAATTTAGAGAAAAGCAGCAGACCTTCTCTCGTCAGTCCCTGAGTAGTCATTCTGGAAAGTTTTGCAATTCTGCTTTCCAATAGTGTCTTAATCTTCAAATAGTTGAGTACTTCATAATTCAGCTGCACGTGCAAAGACATCTTGAAAACAACTCACATACTCTGAATTCAGGATTTATTCACTTGTTTTTAAAGCCATAAGTCCATGAAGAGTTATTTTTTATTGTATGATGGCCTATCAGAGGTAGTCATATATCAAAACGTCATGAAACTGAAAAAAAAAATTAACATTTACATTGACCTGGAAAAGCTACAGAAGATTGTCTAGTCCATCTCTTAAGTCAAAACATTTCAATTTATTGATTTAATCATTAGAGGGGCATTCAAAGCATATCGTGGAAAAGAGTTGCTAAAATTTGCTTTTACGCTAAGCAATCTTTGCATGGTACCCTAGAAATTGTTTAGATGAATATAATGGCCCTCAAATATAATGGCCTCCATTGTCATGAAGCCATCAGCATCACTGAAGAGAGTTTGGTGGTTCTTTCAGATAAGTAGAATTATTCCCCATTCTTTTCTTATGTAATATGATTGCAGGAGCAGAGTCCATAGGAGATAAAATCAAGTTTATTGTTTATCAGCCTCCCATATAAAAAATGTTTCATTATAATCCAGTTTAGGTAGTTCTTGCTAGCATCTACTTGTTTGTAAGACTGATTTACTTCCAAAAACACTTTCTTGGTGCCTAACTCCAGTCAGTGTTTTTATAATTTGTTCTTGTTATGTTTTCAGTGAAAAGAGAGGTTAGCAAGTTATTTTTCCTCACATATAACTCAGTGTGAATAAGCCTATTTTTATTTTTAAAGGAAAGGAACACTCCCAAGCTGCTGATTTATTTTTTTCCATTGTGCATCCATGGAAGAAAATAGACTTTTTTAAAAAAAGTATAAGTAAACTCTTTTGTATTTCTTGAAAAAACCTATCCAATTTAACTTGTTGAGAAGAATATACACAAAAGACCTTGAAGTCTTCCTGGTGTTAAGAAATAAATCAATATCTTGTTGTGAGCTATTTAGTCCTTCTTGCTTATATTCCCAAAGTAATAAAAAATCTTTGCAAATAGCAGCTTCTAACCTGAATATGCATTTTTGCCACCTGTTACTCCAGTGAAGACATTTATCGTAATTAAAGATTGAAATTCTAGTGGGGTTTCTTGATGAAAATGAATTAACTTTACAAAAGCATCCTTAAGGAATTTTTAGGGACTCGCTAGTTGCATTAATAAGATCATTTTTCTTTTAACATTTGGCATCAACCTTTTATCTTTGTCTTCCCCATCTCTGCCTTGTTGACCAAGTTGTGCAGACCCAAACGGACCCATAATCCTTGTTTGCTCTTCTTCCCTCGGGCCTCATATCAGAATCCATCAGCTAGGCCTGTTCCCTATTGCCTCCAAAACAGACTCCAAGACTGATCACTTCTCACCACCATCACCCTTACCGTTGTTGGGCCATGCCAACATCCCCTCTTTCTGGGCTCTCCTATGCTCCAGTTTCCACTCAGCACTCAAAGGGGTTTTTTTAAAAAACATAAATCAGATCTTGCCTTTTCCTCTGCTTCAGACTGACTAAGGGCTTCCTATCAAGCTTGGAACAAACTCCAAATTCTTAGCCCTGGCTGTCATGACCTGGCCCTGCCTACCTCCCCAGCTCCACCCCTGCCACACTCCTGAATGCTCATTGAAGCTCAGCCTCTAGAAGAGAATGGTCTCTGGGTGTTTTTCCCCTGCTCTTCTTTCTACCAAGAAGACTCTTTCCTGACAACTTCTTACTGCTATACCTCATCATTCAGGTTTCTGCACAAATATTACCTCCTCAGAGAGGATGTCCCTGAATGCTTTCTCTCCCTTTCTCACCTTCTGCTTAGCTTTTTGCACTGATAGCTATAGAAATTACCTTTTTTTTTCTCCTTGTCTGCTTCCAAGGAAGTCTCATGAGCACGTGGATTTTGTATATGTTACTATTATGTCTTCCAGGTCTCAAACAGTGTCTGTTACGTAGTAAGCATACAGTATTTGTTGATTGAATAAACAAATGAAGAGAACATATTCTTTCAAAGATGGGTTCCACTTTTAAAATCCCACTCACTTGTAATGTTGACCATGTCTTCCTTATTTACCTTATGTCTCTTAGAAACAAAAAAAAAATTACACTGATTTTCCTTGAAATATTTCTTTAGGATTGCTAAGAGAAAAGAGATAATAGGGTCGGAAAGTCCTATCTAATCTGTACTGTGCAACAAAGTAATGTAAATCATAAAATAATCACAAATTTTCTCATGGTAATAGGTTAATTTCCATTGTTCAAGTAAGTCTTAATCTCAGAATTACTCACTTAAGCATTAATGTTCAAAAACATCTCCCTTTGATATTGGCTATAAGTCTCTGTAGTCTCTCTCTCTCTCTTTTTTTTTTTAAAGACACATTTATTCAGCATCATAATCAGACTATTACATTTAGCAATCAACAGCATGGGTGCAAAAAAAAAAAAAAACTACATTAAAACCCTTTGTTGGAATGCTTTACACTTTCCACAGAACAGAAACTAAAATAACCTGTTATACAATTAGTCACAAATACCGTCCTCGAGTTTTTTGCCCATACACATGAGTATTGTCTAAAACATGTCTTCTTTGTAGCAGCTAGGCCCTGCCCCCACTGTGCTTGGCCGAGTTCACAAATCTGTTGTAATCTGTAGCTTCCCTGTCACTTCTCTTGCTCTCCTCTCCTGCTAAGCTTTGTTTCCTGGCAGTAATTAAAACCTCTTGTCACTGCCGTAGCTCCTGCTGCTGCAGGAACCACCATAGCCACCTTGGTTTCGTGGTTTGGCAAAGTATTGGCCTCCACCACCATAGGGGCCGGAGCTTCTGCCTCCAAAATTTCCTCCTTTCGGGGGTCCAAAATTTGAGGATTGATTGTTGTAATTGCCAAAATCATTATAGCTTCCGCCACCTCCACAGTTGCTTCCATCATTACCAAATCCGTTATGGCCATCCCCACGGCCACCATATCCACCACCGCCTAGACTGCCACGAAAGCCCCCTCGACCGCTGAAGTTCCCTCCACGACCAAAGCTGTCATTCCCACCAAAACCACCTCCAAGACACCACCAAAGTTTATCTTCAAGGCAACTGTAAGCATATTTGCAAATTATTGAATCCAAAGTTAATATTTTCACTTTGACTGTGGAGCTTTTATATCAAATATGTGATGATTTGCAGAAACCGTGACATTTTCCTGCCTCAAAGCTTTAAAATAATTATATCTTTAACTCATTTATTATTGTAGCAGGGGAAGTTTAGACTAGAATGTTATAATATTGGTGTTTTAATGATGAGAGAAAGCCAGCGAGACTTTGGTATCCATAGAAACATGAAGTTCTTCTTTCCATCTTTTCAGTGACCAAAGGTGATTAGCATTTCTTTACATTATTATATCAGTTTATCACAGAGGTAAAGAGCATATACTAGCATTCAAGTAAAGTGAAGATATTTAAAGCAGAAGTAGATACAACTACCATTGGACTCCCCACAGGTTTCTTCCCCTCCCCCAAATGAAGGAATTTATGGCTCTATTAGAAGCAAAGGGGTTATAAACAAGACTTAAACTATTACTTGCCAATTAAAACTTTCATCTAGGTTGGGAAGAAAAATAATTATGATATGCAATCTTAACCATCAAAATGATGCCATAAAACCTTAGGGAAGTGGAAAGAGTACCAATGATCCATACAAGTCCTAAGAAGTTCACCCAATTAAAATAAGACCAAAGTTCTTTAGGTGGCAGAATTATGAGGGAGAGGGAAAGAGAGAAAGAGAGAGAATGACAGAGACAGAGACCTAAAGACAATATGACAAAAGTTAATATGAAAATGTTAGATTTTATTATTTTTAGTTTTTAAAAGATTTTATTTATGAGAGAGAGAGAGCATGAGTGGGGCAGAGGAGGGAGGAGAGACAGAGAGAGAAGCAGACTTCCTGCTGAGCAGGGAGCCTGATGCGGGGCTCAATCCCAGGAACCCTGGGATAATGACCTGAGCCGAAGGCAGCTACTTAACCAACTGCACCACCCAGGAGCCCCAAGAATGATAGATTTTAAAAGAGGAAAGTTATATTATTTTCATTATTTTATGTACATTTGAAATATTTCATAATTAAAATAATTTTTAAGGTTAAAAGAGAAATCATGAGGTGGATTTAAGGACAGTAAATTGTAGGATTAAAGGGCATGAGAGCTAAGTTCCAGTTGAAACTGTCTTTGTCGTATATGACTTGTCAGTTGTTAATTCATAGATGATTGGGGGGAAGTTTATCGCATAATCTACAAAAGTATTTTCACCCATTTATAAAGCTTTTTTACTTATCTATGACCAAACCAATTCTTCGATGTTATTGGATGTCATGTAGTTATGGCCACCTGTCTCTTCTAGGAACCGGTAATATAGTAATTTTTATTTTACGTCCATGATAAGACTCACCAAATTTGCAGTTTCCATTTCCCCTTCCATTCTGACAAAATAATGATAAGAGCAACAACATTAATAATAAGAGCAACATCAGCACATATCATGCCAAGTACTGTCCTAAAGACATCATATTTAATTTATTTAGTCCTCACATCAGATTTATGAAGTGGATATTGTTTAGTATCCCACTTTTACAGATCGAGAAATTGACTTACAGAGAGATAAGAAATTTGCCCAGCATCATAACTGTGCTCTTAAACATTGGTCTATATTGGCTCTTGATCGTGGCTCTAGGTAGTTAAGGAGTTTTTATTAGCCATACACTATAATTTATTCATGCCATAAACGGTTATTCTATTTCACTCTCCTAGGTGTCAGGAACTTTAGGGGACGAGGAAGGTCCCATCCCTACCCCAGGAAGAGAGAATAAAGTAAGCAGTAACAACGTGAGATAAGAATTATGGTACTGGAAGTATCAAGAACTATCAGTAATAGCAAGAACAACGGGACCTGTGTAAGGAAACTGTGACTTCTTGTCAAAGAATCCATACAAATCAGAAAAGGCAACCAGTGCCTTGTTCCATGCTGGTGGCAGTGAGCTCTGAATGAGGGAAGCAGGTGGCCAGAGGGTGATTATCCAACAAGCTATCCCCAAAGATAAAGCACAAAGTTCGAAAGGTCCCTTAGGAGCCTGCTACTCTGTCAGGGTCCTTGCTAGAAGACAAGGGCAGGTCCGGATTTCTTACTGTGGTAGACGCAGAGACGCGCTGCCCAGAATTCCCTCTGTGGAAGGACTTGCTGCCCAACTGGGTCAGGTCAGCAATGGACTCCAGACATTAACTCCTTCAGGTTTGCCCCAGCTGCAAAGGATGACCTCCCCTAAATCACCTCCTTCCTCGGGTAACCTACCAATTAACTTCAAGAGGAATAAAGGAGTTCAGATACTTATTCAAGATAAAAAAAAATACATATGATTTTTATTTTATATGAAAAACATGGCCACTCAGATAAATTCCTTCACTTTTGGGTTTTGATTCAGGCAAATTATTTGGATAAGATTACATCATGTAGTGCCTATCCAAAAGTATCCAAGTATGTGAAATACTTCAAGTCTGATAGCCAGTGATTATTCTGACATTTTTGTAAAAATAAAATCTCGATGTTGAGATTTTGTTTCTGTGCTTGCAAAACTGGAATTGGTTTGTGAACATTCCCATACAATTTACCTGAGCACAAATCTCCAGGACTCCCATTGAAAACCATTCAGATTGTTTGTCACCCTTATCTTTTCTTCTACCTTTGTTTGGAAGATCAAGGCCACCTGCTTTCTTTGTGCCTCATTTTCAATAGCTTTCCCCAACACGTCTTATTCTCATTCTAAATTGTTCCCCTTGAATTCACTATTATAAAGTCAGCACTATATCTAAACTTACTATAGAATGGGGAAAAAATGAGAAAAGACAGAAAATAAATGAATAGCAAACCAGGAAATTGCTATCCAAAGAACAAGTAGAAGGGACTAGTAAAAAGTGAAAAGCAGATAGATGGTAAGTATAGCTAGTTCTTTTTGGAGCAGTTCAAGAATAAGTCAAAACTCAAAAAAAAAAAAAAAATCTTCAGGATATATTATAATTTACCACAATTATTTTCTGAATGTAAACAGAAAGCAAATGATCAAATAGAAACAGCTGAAAGTAAAAAGGAAAAGGAGAGATAAGGTGAAAGCATGCTGATTCCCTCATCCAAAATATCACATAAAGGCGATTAAGTTCTATCATATACATTTATCACCAGTTCAAATATAAGTATCAAATATTCCATTTAAAAATAATTTTATATCTCCTTTAGTAAAATGACCAAGTAGAATGCAGAGCAATTTGTAGTCGACTGATATTTATGAGACTTCCATAATGATGAGAGACTTTCACATATATTATTCACCAGATTTCTCGGCAATAAGCATTATTATAGCCTACTGTTTAGATTGGGAAATTGATATTTTACATAAGTAAATTAACCAGGGTCAAGCAGTTAAATAAGTAGTATATGAGTTGGTATATGAAGACGAGTTCTCTGATTGCCAAATTCTGTTTACTCTCCGGGTTTTGATATTTTTCAGCCCAGTTTTTACAGTACATAGCATGATGGAAAGGGTATAGGCTTTGGTGGGGATCCCAGCTCTACCAGTTACTTGCTGTGTGATCTCGGAAGAGTTACTTAACCTTTCTGTGACTAAGTTTCATGATCCATTCATCTATAAAATGAGTATAAAAAAGTACCAGCATCATGGATTTGTTGTTACAGCTGCCACTCCTTTTTTTCTTAATTTTTTTTTTTAATTTATTTGTCCGAGAGAGAGAGACAGAGACAGAGAGAGATGGAGACAGAGATGGAGAGAGAGCACAGGCAGGGGAAAGGAGAAGCAGGCTTCCTGCTGAGCAGGGAGCCCAATGTGGGACTTGATCCCAGGACCGCGGGATCATGACCTGAGCCGAAGGCAGATGCTTAACCGACTGAGCCACCCAGGCGCCCCTGACACTCCTTTTTTTATAACAATTTAAGAAACATTTGAGGGGCGCCTGGGTGGCTCAGTTGGTTGGGCGACTGCCTTCGGCTCAGGTCATGATCCCACGGTCCTGGGATCGAGTCCCGCATCGGGCTCCCTGCTC